GGTTACAATCAACTTGACAGGCACATTCACTTGTTTTATACAACAAACAGTTTCTAAGAGGTTTCTCCACCATCTGGTGACAGAACCTCGCCGCTCAATTGATTTTATCCGACTACACAGACCAATGAACACAGCAGCAGTCTCAGACCTGCCAGAAGGGGTGTCGAAATATGCACCCTCTACCCTATTCTCACTCCGGGTGAGAATAGAGGTGGCCTTTTCTTTGACTCCAGTTTGAGTCCATTTTCAGTCTGGCATATATCGGGCAATGTTTTAGGCCAACTTTGACCTTTGCATTCTATTTCCGGCTCTCCGACGTCAACAAATGTCGCGACCACCATATATCCAAGTAGATCTAGATCTAGATCTAGATCTAGATCTAGTGCCTATTGTTTTTTGTTACATAATGTTACTATTGTTACATGATTTTAACATCCAAATATCTTGCAAAGTATTAATTTGCGACGCATTTCGTTGTTAATTTCGTGTTCAGCAGCTAAAAGTATGTCAGTTAAGCCACTTAAGCCCTTAAAAATAGTGCATTTCCATGCGAGGGGGGTTGTAAAATTTTACCTTTAACTTTGATAGAGATCTAGCCTAGAGAACGGGTGGACTATTCACGAGTCGCATATTTTTTTTAACGCGGTTATTCCCCTTGTGTCAATGACGTCAAGGGGAAACACTGGGGGGTATCAAGACCAGAATTTAAATCTAGGTCACCAAGTCCAATGATAAACTACAGCAAAAGCTTTTTTAAAACAATATGGTGAAACTCAGGACTTCGTTTTCCTGCTTATGAATAAAGCAATGCATTATTCTGACACTTTAAGCATACCTACAATTCACGCAAGCAGTTGCTATTCGCACTCATTGTTGGAGCCATGTCGATCGCTGAAATATGGCGGACATGTTCCTCTCTCCTGAACTGGGGGCAGGGGGGAGCACGAAATTATATCTTGCAATTGCAAGCAAGTTACGGATTTGTCACGATTTCTAAATACTGCACAAAGACAAGGTAGCAAACTGTGTTCTTACCTGAATTCAAAATGCATGAATCACGTTTGAAGCAGAAAATATACAGGAAAAATAATGTGGGACTACCCCCCTGCTCTCTCCTCCCTCTGATTAGATGCAGGAAGGGAGGTAACAAGAGAAAAAAGCAAGGAAAAATACATTAGAATTTTTATGTTCAGCGGGAGAGGAGTGGCGAATGGGAAAGCGTAGCCTAGGCCTTGGCCAAGAGCGACTGCTGGGGAGGAAAGGGGGGGTGGGAATATATGCAGTGTAAAGGAGGCGCGCGCGAGGCAGGGGGAAGTGGGGAAGAGGGGGAGCGAGATGCTTGGGCATTTTCAGTCCCGAGTATCAGTAACCTCGATGCACAGGCAGGACAAACGCTTAGTTTTTATTTTAAATATCTAAATAGAATAATAATTTTAGTGCAACTGCCTTTAGTTATAAGCACACAATTATTGCACAAACTGAAACCCAAGTTCTCATAAATTCATCTAATATTAATTTGTATAACTTGCTTAGGTCTACAGAGTGCGCGTTATGTTAAAATTGAAACCGCGTTAGGCTACATATGTAGTCTAACAAGTGATATAATGTTACATACATACATAATGTATGTATGTATGTAGATCTATGTCATGTTTTAAGCGCGCTCATGTGACCTTATGCTGTTGCGAGCGCCGTAAAACTCTTACTCTTACTAAAAACCAAACAAATTAAATGTCTAGTAGGATAGGTTAAGGTAGGGGTCTTTAGGACTATACTATAGGGGCGAAAACATAGAGAACGCCGATTTCAGAGACTGACTCGGTAAGTTCAGATAGAATGTAGATTCTATGTATAAAAAGTTCCTTTTTTATGGCGTCGGTTCCAGTACTAGTGGTCAGGCTACCGGACTCGTAATCGTAGGTTGCAGGTTCAGGGGTTCGAGCCGCGAGCCCGGCGTTAGATTGTCCTTTGGAAAGGCACTTTACTTGAATTTCCCCCTCTTCACCCAGGTGAAAAAATTGTCAGTTTGTTAGTGTTTGAGCGCTTAACCTGCTGCTTGCACTGTATGCTTCCCGGGAAGCTGGGAATGTTTCTGAGTATCTATGGTCTGCTGGGGTAATAATATAAAATAGTGTAAAGCGCATATAGAGCTTCCTTTCGAGTGGGGACATGCGCTATACAAATGCTATTTATCATTATTATTATTATTATTATTATTATTATTATTATTATTATTATTTCCAACTTGCCCCACATAGAGTTGCATGGCAGACTGCAGGCGGCTTAGATTTAAGCACCGATCAGCGCTGTCGGCTTTATACTTTATCGGAATCCAAACTAGAAAGTATACATTCTTATTACGCCGAAAAACTTGGAAAGGCACCTAACTGCTGTCAACTCGCACCTCGCAGGTCTGCTTTCTTGTCGTATCTCCATTTTTAAACAGTGAAAAAGTAACTTCTTAAGTAATTTTTGTTGATTTAAGTTACTTATACCCGTGACCAGTCACGTACAAATCAGAACAATTGTTCAGTAACACGCTCCGAGATTACACCAACACACAAGTGCACACACACACACACACACACACACACACACACACACACACACACACACACACACACACACACACACACACACACACACACACACACACACACACACACACACACAGGGCCGCGTTACCCGTAAGGCTGTTTAGGCTGTAGCCTAGGGCCCCGCGCCTCAGGGGCCCCGCGCTTGCAAACACGACGTTTAAAAAATGTTGGTTTTTTAAAAATTGTCCTCTTGTTGAATTGTTGTTGTTGTTTGTTGTTTGTTTTGCTGTTGTTTTTAAAGTTGTTGTTGTTGATGTTGATGAGAAGGATGTTGATGCTACCGCTGTTGCTGTTGTTGTGGCTGCTGCTGATGTGTTTTCTGAAGTTGTCTTTTGACTACGCCTAGGCGCTAGGCCGAAAACTATAACATTCTAGGCCCACATTACGCCGCCGAAATACTGGCAACTTAGCGTTACTTCCTGTCCTGGCTAAAAGTTACAGTTATATCGTTTTGTTGAATTCGATCGAGTTTGTTGCTCAACTCTGCAACTTTATTTTCTTCAAGAACGAGCAGCAAGATCTTCAATGAATGGTGCGTACTATATCTAGAATAATTACATTTATAGGGTCTCTTTGAGTTTTATGATTTACCTACGTCTGGAAATGAATCTAGATAGGTCGTTTACTAGTGTGGTCAAAGAAGGGTCAAAGGCATGCTGACGTGTTGACAAGCAAGGGGGGCGATTTAGGCTCTTCTAACACTGAGGGGCCCGACAACATGTCTTACTACAGTGGAATCCTGTTATAACGAGAGGGTGGGGACCGGTGCAAAAGAGGACTCCCTCTACGTTGGGGCTTGTTTGTAAAACGTATCGATGGCCCTACACCCAAATCATTGTCAGGAACTACATGGTCTGCCCGACATGATGCAACAGTAGCATTAAAATCAAACTACAAAAAGATTATGTTATCATTACTGCTTGACATCTCCCGTGACATGAAAGAATCTCCCCAAACGCGTGATGAGACGTCATCCTTGCACAACAAGATGGAAAATTTTGAATTTGCTGTGCAGTGTGTGTTTTGGGAACAAATTCTGGCACGCTTTGACACTGCCTACAAAACACTTCAGAAACCATCACTCAACCTGGGAGTCGTACATATGTTGTACGATTCTCTAACTGCTTTCTTAACTGGACTTCGGGACGATTTCGAGCGAATCGAACAATCAGCCACACCTTTCGTCGAAGAGCCTTCTTACCAATACCAGAGAGTATTTAATTATATTTTAGTGTCTCTGCCAATACAAACGCATTGCAAAACGCAAGCGCTTCCACGACGAAACGAAAGATGTTGAAGCTGTTTTGTCGCACCGGGAGCAGTTTAGAATAAACACCTTCGTTGTCATCGTTGACTGCTTTTTGTCTGAACTTGAAAAGCAAGGAGACATCTACAAGACTCTGGCTCAAGATTTTGACATTCTCTTTTATCTTCACAAGAAGCCTGCCACGAGCACTCGAGACATCTCGCATTCAGCAGCAATATGGAGAACGACCTAGAGCCATCATTTCCTGACGAACTAGTGACGTATTCAGGATATCTCAACTCAGCATTTCAGTCTGAGGATACACTTTCTCCTCCCCGGCTCCTTCAAGATCTGTGCGAAAGTGGTACAACAACAGCTTTCCCAAATGTAGAGATCGCACTAAGGCTCTTTCTCACCATGCCTATCGCCAACGTAGAGGGTGAAAGATTCTTCTCCGTACTGAAACGAGTGAAAAGTAGACTGCGTTCAACGATGGGACAAGAGAAACTAAGCGGCCTAGCTCTCTTGACAATTGAATCTGAAACGACAAAATCTCTAGACTTTGAGGACATCATCGAGGCATTTGTCCACCAAAAAGCCAGGAAAAAAATATAAGGTATGAGTTTTTATAATCTGTTGTGTATGTGTTTAGATGAAGTAATCCACCACGAAGCAAACAAGCACGGATAGGTTTCGGCTGCCTCATACTTTGTAACCGACAAAAGATCTATAAATGTGCTTGTCGTTGTCTTAATCCACATTATTGGTGGATACCGGTAGGCCTACATCTAATCACGTTTTACAGCATAGCTTTCCATCAGTCCTACTTCTAATCACGTTTTACAGTATAGCTTTCCATCAATACGGGGTTACAATGCGGTAGTAGTGGCATCAACGTCATCGAGGGACCCGGGCCCCGCGGCTCAAGGACAGCCTAGGGCCCCGCACTTAGTTAACGCGACCCTGCACACACACACACACCAACAAACAATCAATCAAACAAACAAACACACACACATACACACGTACGTACTCACACACTGAGTTAGTGAGAGTGAGTGCGCGCGCATGCTCGCGTGTATGTGTTGTCACGTATCTCAACTCTTTTAGTAGTTTAGTATGGGGTTTTACGGCGATCGCAACTGCATAAGGTTATATGAGCGCCATATCTCAATTTTGACGAAATCCAAGTAAGTGCTCGCATTTCAAAATCCGTCAAGGGCGCTGTAAATTGATTTAGGAAAATGAAAACATTTGTGAATTCAGTCTGACAATGTTACAGGAGAGTCCAACTAATCGTTACAGAAGTTCTGGGCTGTCAAAGAATGCGCTTTATGTGGCGACATTCACGAGAGACACACTCCCCTGATCGGCGTTGAAACGTGATTTACTACCTTCTGGCGCTGCTCTCGAAGAATTTTATTTGTTGAGCAATGTGCTCTACGTTTTGCCTCAGTTCCCAATGGTTGGGAAAACTCTGGACACACGTCTGCCCCAAGTTGGAAGTCCAACGGAATTCAGGCTGGGATTGTGTGAAGCTCAGAAACAAGGTATACCACGACTTCTGTTGAAGTGATTCTGGTTCCACTCAATGACTTGAGCTTACAGACAGTGTGCTCCTTCTTGCTTGACGGTCGTTTCCGCTCCTGAGGTCCCACATAATCTTCCCAATGATCTTCAACACCGATCAAGAATCTTCAGATATATCGATCTACTACCATAGTCTTCAACCATGAACCAGTTCGGAACAATGAATCCTGCTGCAACCCAGGCATTATGTGTGCGCAGGTTTCGGTCAACGATGTTGTCTGCATGGTCTTTCTGAACTCCAGTGAATGTCACTTCTTGTGTTCATGTCTCTGTTCAAATAAAAATTGGCTTCGTCAAGGGAAACACTCTTTCCATGAATGAATTATCATTATAGCCTGATCCTCAAAAGCCATAGCCATAGTCACCATTTGATCTGTTCCCTGGCGTGGGAACCTGAAATGACTTGTGTATTAAAAGTTTGTCAACAGAAATTTGTCGAAATATAGAATTCAGCTCTCCGACGACTAACCATGTTGTTCACCTTTCCTTTTGCTAGACACAGACACATGCCCGGCCTTTTGAAATCTACATACCTTTCAAGTGTAGTGTTGTTTGATGGCAGACCGCAGCTCATCCTATTGTTGATTTTCGCCGATCATTTTTTTTTTGGTATGAGGCATGCCTCTTTTTCTTATTATCCTATCGTGAGTCTCAAGATCTACGTTTATCCAGCTGTCCCTCCCCCCCCCTTCTGTCGTTACCCACTGTTACGTTTTGACCCCACCAATTAAAATTCAGTCTGCCTCGCAAATTCGGGAGTAGAGACAGTTGCTGCAATGGTCAGGGAAGAGTACACAGTAATTAAATGTGTTCCCATCTGGAGTGAAGTTAGGTGGAGAGCTCAGATACGAGTGCGATGTATGGGGAAACAAACGCGTCGATCTGTTCACACCTCCGTGTGCTGTCTTCAGCTAAACACTGTACCGTTTCATCGAGTTTTACAACGCATGTGATTACATTCAAGGGAGTGGCTGATCTTTGAGGCGACAGGCAGTTCGATATCGCAACTTTTCACTCTTGGTTTATCTGCTGTGCCCGCCATGGTGCTTGTTCCTTAAATTATGATTTGAAATACGGGATCTTTGCCGAATGTAGACCTTCAAAGTGAATCAGAGTGGGATCTTAGGGGTAACTTTTGTATAGTAAAATTATATTTTCCTAAAACAGCGGGCGATCATACAGAAGGATCTTAGGCGGAGACTAAATTTATAAGATGCAATCCGCATTTTTCAACTTACTTACTTTCAAATTTTACGTCGATCGTGTAACAAATAAAACTGTCTAGAATTTTTGTTTGAATTTCACTAGAGTTTGAACAACAGGTACAGTGTGTGTGTGTGTGTGTGTGTGTGTGTGTGTGTGTGTGTGTGTGTGTGTGTGTGTGTGTTTATGTGCATACGTTGCATATATATATGCATGTATAATGTATACATGAATAATATATCAGTGTCTGTGGCGTAGCAGACATGCGCTTTTCCGTCGCAAGACCCAAGTTTGATTCCCAAGTAGAGAGAATTTTTATAGAGTATCTCCGTCTTTCTTCTGGGATGTTGTATCCTTATCAGCCCAGGTTGGCCCTGACAGGCAGGATCGAGAGCTTGCCTTCTAAATGATACAAGTTGTGTTAATGGAGGCGTAAAACACCTATCTTTCAAAGTGTAAATAATATCATGTATAATACAGAACGACACGTACCCTTACAGAAAGCGAGCGAGAGAGAGAGAGAGAGAGAGAGAGAGAGAGAGAGAGAGAGAGAGAGAGAGAGAGAGAGAGAGAGAG